TATATATATATATATATATTCTGTTCAAACTGAACAGAAAATGTACTGTACAAATACTGTCATATGTGCTTGCATTTTTCTTTGCAAACGTTCATGTGTTTTTCCCCTTAGTAAGTATTTTTGAGTTTCTTGATTTAGTTTGTTTTCTAAACCTGCAATTCCATATAAAGACTCTGAGCGCCACTGTTGCACTGCAAAGGTTTTATTGCATCTAAAATTTCAACAGCTCTGAATTCTTAGTGCAGTTTCACAGAACAGGACTGCAGTGTATCATAGCATACCTGATTACTCAGTGTTCTTCTCTATATTGGATAAATCTAATGGAAGTGTAAGTGAATTTACACTTGGATACATGAATGGAAACAAGTAAACCAACAAAATAAATCATGCAGTGCAATGGAGGAAGAAAGACAATGACAACGCAGGTACTATATTTTCTTATTTATTTTACCTTTGAGTATATTTCTGCTCAGCTCCACTACTCAGTACCTGAAGAATTGAAGAAAGGATCTGCTATAGGAAATATAGCAAAAGATCTAGGGTTACATGCAAAGGAATTATCCCTCAGAAATTTCCATATTGTCTCAAGAGGCAAAACACAGTATTTTGAAGTCAATCCAGAAACTGGAGAGTTGCATGTTACAGATAGAATTGACAGAGAAGGGCTTTGTGGAACAAAACAGAACTGTTTTATAAGCTTTGAAGCCGTAATTGAAAATCCTTTACATTTGTATACAGTAAAAGTGGAAATTCAGGATGTAAATGACAATGCACCAAGTTTCTCTAAAGATATTTTTGACATAGTGATCAGTGAATCATCTTTACCCGGAGTACACCTTGCTTTGGAGCATGCACAAGATCCAGATATCGGTACTAATTCTGTGCACAGATATACAATTGAAGACAACATGTTTTTCTCACTTGGAGAAATTACTGCCTCTGATGGAATTAAACATCCAGAACTCATTTTAGAGAAGTCTTTGGATAGAGAAAAACAAAACTTTTATAGATTAACTTTAATTGCTTTTGATGGAGGTCAGCCTTCTAAAACAGGCACTGCTCACATTAATGTCAAAGTTCTTGATGTAAATGATAACTATCCAAAATTTGATAAACCTGTTTACGAGGTTTATTTGAATGAAAATGTCCCCATAGGTTTCATTGTTCAACAGCTAAATGCAACTGATAGTGATGAAGGGTCCAATGCGCATATTACATATTCATTCACCAATATTCCAGAAAATGCACGTGACACTTTTATTATAGATCCACAAAATGGAAGCATAAAAATAACAAAGGATATTGACTTTGAAGTAACAGAAGAATTTAAGATGACAGTGGAAGCTAAAGATAGTGGTGGACTTGCAGCTCAATGTAAGATATCTATTCACATTATTGATATTAATGACAATGCTCCTGAAATAACTATTACATCTGTCTCAACTACAGTTCCAGAGAACTCTCCACCAGATACAATTATAGCATTAATTAATGTTCAAGACTTAGACAGTGGTGAAAATGGAGAGGTTGTCTGTGAAATCTCTGACACTTTACCCTTTAAATTAATATTATCATCTGCAAATTACTACAAACTTGTAACATCACAAAGTATCGATAGAGAAAGAATGTCTCATTATAACATAACAATTAAAGCTCTGGATAAGGGGTCTCCTCAATTATCCACCAACATAACCTTCCAACTAGGTATCTCTGATGTGAATGATAATATGCCTATATTTGATCAAACAAATTATATAGTGTATGTTCAGGAAAATAACCCACAAGGAACTTCAATATATAGAATTCATGCTTCAGATTATGATATTAATCAGAATGCTAAAATTAGTTATTCCATTCTGAGTAATAACATCGATAATATTCCAGTGTCTTCATATGTTTCAATTAACTCAGTGACTGGGGTTCTTTATGGCCAGAGATCTTTTGACTATGAACAGTTGCGGGAATTCCAGTTCCAAGTAATGGCTAAAGACAGTGGATTACCTTCTCTTAGCAGTAATGTCACAGTGAAGATTTGTATCATTGATAGAAATGATAATGCTCCCAAGATTCTCTACCCATCACAAGACACCGAGGAATCATTATTTGAGTTTATCCCTCATTCTGCTGAGAAAGGTTTTCTAGTGACCAAAGTGATTGCAGTGGATAATGACTCTGGACACAATGCTTGGCTCTCGTATCACTTTCTACAGAATCCTGATCCATCCTTATTTATCATAAGTCAACAGACGGGGGAAATCAAAATAGGAAGAGATCTTAAAGACATGGATTCTTTAAGCCAAAAGATTGTGGTTTTGGTGAAAGACAATGGACAACCTTCTTTGTCATCCACAGTTACGCTGAGCTTAGTCGTTGCAGAAAGTTTTCAACAAGTGATACCAGAAATAAGACGACACCCTAGTAGTATAGAAATGTCTTCAAATACGACCTTCTACTTAATAGTTTCCATAGGTCTCATCTCCTTTCTATTTTTGGTAACAGTGATTCTAACAGTTCTTTTTAAGTGCAAAAAATCTAGCACTCCAACATCTTTTGGAACCTACAGCAGAAATGTATACCCTCAGTTTACCCTGGGATGTCCCTCTGAGATCAGTGATGCAAGTTTACCTTTTCCATTCTCATATGATGTGTGTGTGACTCTTGACTCAAAGCAGAATGAAATTGCGTATCTAAAACCACTACAGAATGTTCCCACAGACAACCTCATTGACACTGGCGATTCAGCTACCACAATTGAACTTCCAAAAGCAAGTTCGCAGCTAGTTCATCTTACACAGGTAAGAATTAAATACCAATATTTTGGGCACAAGAAGAAAAAAAACATGTAGTGGGGCCATCCATGTTGCAAGGGTTGAAAACTCTTTGGGGGTGATTTACTAACCTAAACACACACACACACCAGGTGTGTGTGATTTTCACACAGCAAAACGTATTTATCAACCAAAAAGTCTCTAAAAGCATATTTCCACTAATGCCATATATGGAAAAATCATGCACATGATGCATATATAATGCTGCTTCACAGTTTAGACAAAAATGGTTAGCTCATGCATTTACATTCCTTGCATTCATCAACGCAAGCAACACAACATAGAGCTAATTTACCCAACATCACCTTGGAATTCATTCAGGGCTTTGCACAACACACCTGCTGGGTGTGTACACATTACAAAGGTGTTTAGATTCCACCCATAGATCATGCTGGGAGGGAACACACTGCAGAGGTGTATACACGTTCGTGGTGTGTTTATAAGGTTAGTAAATCAACCCCTTTATGTTTAGTTGGAGATGAAGAGACAGTATTACTTACCCAAATCCATGCTCCAGCACTCCCCTCTTCCGTGCTCCAGCACTCCCCATTTCTGAGCTCACATGAGCTCCTGCTCTCTGTTTTGATTCAAATACCACTCTTTATAGCAGTCTATTGGGTCCAAGGGGTTACCATGAAATAATGTTGCTTAGCTGGACTGGGAAAAGCACAGAGTGTGTTTTAAATAATGGGATTGCCTTTTATTTCTAGTATTGTATCAGTAACAGAAGATATAATATCTCTCAATAAATAGCATGTGTTAAATTTGTATAGAGTTCAGATTTTAGGTGCATATTGTTTGTTGCATTTTGTTTGTTTCAGTGTATGTGTGTGCAAAATGCCTCGTATAAAAATAGAAATTTGCAGATGTCAAACGACCCTACCCTCATGCCTAACTCGATCTTGTGCTACACAAAGAGCAGTGCCAATTGCTATGGTAATTGATTATGTTTTGAGATTTCAGCAGTACTGTTTTTGGAGCAAGACTCCTCACACATGTATAATAAACTTGGGATCATAAAGTTGTCTCAAAACTGATAAAAGCTAAACTTCTGGTTTCCAAGTTTACTTTAACATGTATCCCTTCTTGACAATGACAAATTCATTTAAGCCCTCACAGGTTCACATAATATATATTTAAAAATTAACATTTTGGTTTGATTTACTAAAGGAGGAGAGGCTGAACGTTCACTTTGGAAAAGTGCTTACTAACCAAGCAGAGCAGCTGCCAGTATTATACAGCTGGAGGGTGGCAGGGTTTTAAAAGTAAATCAAAAATTCAAGATCTCCCCCACAACCCTATTGAACTCCCAATAGCCCGCCATCACCCACTTAACTAAAGGCGGCTTGATGTATTGTCACAGCAGATTAGGTTTGCCACTACCATGGGTTTGAGGGGAATTTTGCAGGTTCGAGATTCGTAGTCCCAGAGAATTTATGCAGATTATCTCAGTGGAATGTTTTATAAATCAAAATGTAAAGGGTGTCCTTTGAAGTAGTGTTGATTGGTGTTGAGCAGTGAGAGCGCTGGCTATTTGGTTACATTGGGAGCTGTCTTCCTTATATTTGTGTTTGTGTGGATGGTGGATCACTGTCAAGATTGGGTCAGATAATAAGATTTTATATGAGAGTAGTTTTTTGTTTATGAATAAATGGTTTTAAAATGGGACTACACCATGTGTCTTCATCTTCTTTTTTTGAGCATGGTATTACCAGAGGAGCAAAGAGATATCTTCCACTGGTGAAGTGGACGATTGTACCTACAATGTGTGGGAAGGCATGAGTGGCAATACTAAATATATATTTTGGTTGTGGTCCACATTAGATGGTGAGCAGAACTAAGTGTGGATACAGGAGCACGGCTTTGCACTGAAAGTTCGTTCAATGATCACTTGGATGTGTGTAGTAAAGAACTAAAACAAATGGCAAACGCACTCATTAATTTGTCACCAGCAATTTGTGCTGTAGTATGGTATATATTTTTAAACCACTGTTTTGTACACTATCATTATATAGATTTTTTTGGGTGTATTTTCACATTTAAGTGTCAGCAGCTAGGTAATTTTTCACATTAAATTAGCACAGAATCCTATAACAACAATGTCCTTTGAAGTAGCCCAGCAGGATTAGAAGGGATAATAATGAGGTTTTTGGATACGCCATTACCCTCACTCAGCAGAGCCAGTCTAGGCAATCATCAGTAGACATGTGCACTGGCAAAAAATGTGTTTAGTTTCGTTTCGTTTTGATTCAGATTTTCGATTTCGATTCAGAACGAAACAAATCACACATGTCTAATCATCAGCACTTAAATCCATCCATTCATAAAGTCAAGACAAAGGGGTCTATTCACGAAGCTGCCGAGGGCAGCCGAGGGAATGACCGATCTGAAGTGAAGTAAGCCGAACTATGTTCGGCTATTCACTTCAGTCTGGGAAGGCTGATTTACAGCATGTTCGGCCAACCCGAAGTGCAGAAGGAGTTCGACTCAGCCGATCCAACATCTGGATCGGCTGAGTCGAACCTCCAGCAGGCTTCTCACTGCTGTTCGCGCTATTCTTAAAGATGCCGAACAGTAGTGAGTGAATAGCCGAATGCCGCTGAGTGGCATTCGGCTCGGCTGTTCTGATCGGCCCCTCAGAGGGACTGAGCAGGACAGAAAAAGAATTAAAAAAGTAAAAAAAGTAAATAGCAAACGATTGTGCGGAGCTAGCAGAGACAGCTAGCTCCGCCCAATAGTTTCCTATTGTCCGGCGGCTCTGCTGCTGTAAAAAAAAAGAAAAAGAAACCCTCCCGGGCGCTCTGGGAGCCTCCCGCTCCCAGCCGCCAAGGAGAGAAGCACTGATGTGTCTTTTTTTCCTTATTCTGATACAAGCAATCTCAGAATAGAGAAAAAAAAAATTCCCATTGAAAAGCATTGGGACATTACTATTGGCTATTTCAATTTGCAATAGCCAATAGTAAACTAGCATTGTACCCGCCCTCTGCTGATGGACCTGATGGGGAACT